AAAAAAAAAAAAAAAAAAAAAAAAAAAAATCATAAGGAAGCGAAATACATTTACAGTACTGCTATAAAAAAATCCACAAATAAATGGATCCATGCAGTTCAAACTCATGTTGTTCAAGTGTCAACTGTATATGCTGTCTACAAGAGACTCACTTAAGATCCAAAGATGCAAACATGTTAGAAGTGAAAGGATGGAAAAAGATACTCCATGCAAATAATAAAAGAGAGCAGGAGTACCTACACAAATATCAGACAAAATAGACTTTAAATCAGAAAAGGTTATAAAAGACAAAGAAAGACATTACATATTACTAAAAGATTCAAAACAGTAGTGAGATATAACAACTATAAAATTTACTCATGTAATGACAGATCATTAAAATATATGAGGCAAAAATTGACAGAATTGAAGGGAAAAACAGAGTTCTAAAAAAATAGTTGGACTTCAATACCCCACTCACAATAATAGAAGACCAGACAGAACATTAATCAGGAAACAGAGGATTTAACACAATAAACTAGATCTAATAGACATATACAGAACACTCTACCCCAAACCAGAATATACATTCTCAAGTGTGCAGGGGACATTTTGCAGGATAGACCATGTTAGGCCACAAATTGAAGTCTCAACAAATTTAAAAGGACAGATATCATACAAAGTATATTCTCCAACCCACAACCAGATGAAATTAGAAGTGAATAATGAAAGGAAAATTTAAAAAGTCACAAAATTGTGGCATTAATTAAACAGATTTTTAAACAACGAATGAATCAAAGAATTCACAAGAGAAATTAGAAGACACTTAGGAGACAAATGAAAACAAAAACACAACTTGCCAAAACTTAAGAGACCCAGCAAAAGTGGTGCTAATGGGTAAATTTATAGCTATAAATGTTTACATTAAAAATCAAAAAAGATTTCAAGTCAATAACTTAACTTCAAAACATAAGGAATCAGAAAAAGAATAAACTAAACCCAAAGCTACTTGAAGGAAGGAAATAATAAAGATTACAGTAAAGATCAACAAAATGGAGAACAGAAAAAGAATAAATAATATCAAAACGAAAAGTTGGTTCTTGGGAAAAATAAACAAAATTGACAAATCTTTAGCTGAGTAGATTAAAAAACAGAGAGTCCAAATTACCAAAATCAGCAACGAAAGTGGGGATGTTACTGCCAATTATACAGAAAGAAAAAAGATCATAAGAGAGTATTATGAATAATTGTATGCCCACAAATAGAATAATCTAGATGAAATGGACAAATTCCTAGAAATACAAAACCTACAAAGACTACACCATGCAAAAATAGATAATCTGAATGATCTATATCTGGTAAAGAGGTTAAATCAGTAAACAAAAATCTCCCAACAAAGAAAAGCCCTGAACCTGATAGTTTCAATGAATTATTTCACCAGTGAAAATTTATTTATTTATTTATTTTTTTTTTTTTTTTTTTTTAAATTTTTTTTTTTCAACGTTTTTATTTATTTTTGGGACAGAGAGAGACAGAGCATGAACGGGGGAGGGGCAGAGAGAGAGGGAGACACAGAATCGGAAACAGGCTCCAGGCTCTGAGCCATCAGCCCAGAGCCTGACGCGGGGCTCGAACTCACGGACCGCGAGATCGTGACCTGGCTGAAGCCGGACGCTTAACCGACTGCGCCACCCAGGCGCCCCTCACCAGTGAAAATTTAAAGAATACCAATCTTTCTCAAACTCTTCCAAAAAAATTAAGGAAGAGAGAACACTCCTTAACTAATTCTGATACCAGTTTTAACCTGATACCAAAACCAGACAAAGACACTAAACTACAGACCAATATCCCTTATAATGCCAAAATCAACATAATACTAATAATCCAAATTCAGCAGTGTAGTAAAAGGGGTAACACACTATGATCAAGAGGGATTTATTCCTGGAATGCAAGCATGGTTCAACATACACAAATCAATCAACAGGGGCACCTGGGTGGCTCAGTTGGTTGGGCGTCCAACTGGATTTTGGCTCAGGTTCATAAGATCAAGCCCCACGTCAGACTCTGTGCAGAAGACAGCATGAGGGCTGCTCAGGATTCTCTCTCTCTCTCTGCCCCTGCCCTGCTCATTGCTCTCTCTCTCTCTCTCTCTCTCTGAGAATAAATAAATAAACATTTTTAAAAATGAATCAATGTAATGTACCATATCAAAAAAATGAAGGAAAAAAAACCACACATGATCATCTCAATTGATGAAGGAAAAAAGTTGACAAAACTCAAAACCCTTTCATGAGAAAAACATTCAACAAACTAGGAATAAAAGAAAGCTACCTTAATATAATAAAAGCCATTTATGGAAAACCCACAGTGGGGCACCTGGGTGGTTCAGTCAGTTAAGTGTCCGACTTCGGCTCAGGTCATGATATCATAGGTCGTGAGTTGGAGCCCTGCGTGGGGCTCTGTGATGACAGCTAAGAGCCTGAAGCCTGCTTTGGATTCTGTGTCTCTGTCTCTCTCTCTCTGCCCCTCCCCCATTCTTGCACCCCCCCCCCCACTCTCTCTCTCTCTCTCTCTCTCTCTCTCTCAAAAATAAACAAACACTAAAAAAAGAAAAAGGAAAACCCACAGCTAACATCCTACTCAATTGGTGAAAGACTGAAAGCTTTTCCTCTAAGATCAGGAAAAAAACAAGGATGTCCCCTCTCACTTCGTTTTTGTTTTTTTGTTTTTATTTTTATTTTTTAACATTTATTTAATATTGAGATACAGAGCATGAGCATGGGAGATGCAAAAGGAGAGACACAGAATCTGAAGCAGGCTCTAGGCTCTGAGTTGTCAGCACAGAGCCCGACACAGGGCTCAAACTCACAAACCGTGAGGTTGTGATCTGAGCCGAAGTCTGACACTTAACCAACTGAGCCACCCAGGCACCCTGCCCCCTCTCACTTCTATTCAACACAGTACTAGAAATTCTGGCCATAGCAATCAGTGTCCATTGACAGATAAATAGATAAGCAAAATGTGGTATATACATACAATAGAATATTATTCTTACAAAGGAAACAAATTCTGCAGTACACCACAACATGGATGAACCTCTAGGATATTATGCTAAGTGAATTAAGCCAGTCACAAAAAGACAAACACTGTATGATTTCACTTATATGAGATACTTAGGGTAGTCAAAATCATAGGGACAGAAGAAAATAGAATGACAGTAGCTAGGGGGTGAAAGGAGGGGAAAATGGGAGTTACTGTTTTAATGGGTATAGAGTTCCAGTTCTGACATTATTGCACAGGTCCCTTAGGCTCTGATCTTTTTTCCTGTTTCTCAGACTGAGTAGTGTCTGTTGCTCTTTGTTTCAAGCTCATATTTTTTTTCTCTTATTAGTTCCATTCTACTATTAAGTCCATCAAATAATGTATTTTTTACTTAGTCTTATGTTTTTGGTCTCACAGCTTCTTCTTTAACTTGTTCTTACTCTAATTTCAACTCAATGGTAAGAGCACTTCTACTCTCAACCAGTCTTCAAGCTATTTTTATGTCTAGTGTACCAGAGTCTACAAAATCACTCTTAATTTAATCATGCCAAAAAATAATTATTAAAACTGAAATGGCAAGAGTACTATACAAGAAAGCATTGTAAAATGATCTAGAAGTAATGGGATGCTAATTCTACTACTTGCCACTTACTTTTCTAGGTCTTTGTTTCCTCATCTATCAAAAAAAAAAAAGTTGAGCTAGTAATGTTAAGGTTCTTTTCAGCATTCATATTCTAAACATACATTATGTCTACATGGAAAACATAGTATCTTACTCTTTCAATCTGCTTTTCCATTTCTTTATGCTGTTCAAGATGAATTTTCTTGGCCTTTTCAAAAGCTAAACAAATTTTCTCATGTTCTGTATTGATATTGGTTTCTAGACTTCTTATCTTTTCATTCTTTTCCTAGAAATAAAAAAACAATTTAAAAGAATATAACTGACATTGAGGAGAGCACCTGTTGGGATGAGCACTGGGCGTTGTATGGAAACCAATGTGACAATAAATTTCATATTAAAAAATAAAGACTAGGAAAGACAAAAAAATGAATATAACTGAGAACAAGTTTTACATAAAAACACTTAAGTAAAGCATTAAATCTGTCGTACTCTATTTTTTTAAGAATCACAATAGTGAATATGTCAAACATCAAAAATATCTAAACATATACATAAGACAAAATGGTTATTTTAAAAAATTGTGTCAAAATGAAAACCTTCAACTATTTTAAAATATTGAAAAGCATATCAAAGAAGTTCATTATTTCCTTCACTTCTACTAGAATAAAAATAAGAAATTACAGATAACAACTTGCTATATATAAGCCTATTGACTTAAAAATATAGAAAAAAAAACAAATAATCAGAAGAATTTACTAGAATTTATGCTTTCCTATTTGGTATACTGTATAACAATGAAAATAAAACAAACATGCTGTCACAAATCAAGTGCATTAAAGTCACAGTGAATTTGTAACCACACAGTAATATTTACCATAAGCTCCTGTTCCAGTTCTGCATTTTTTGCAGCAATAGAGGAATAAGCAACTATTTTTTCTTCCAGCTGTTTCTCTAGAGTTAAAAGTTGAGAACATTTCTTTGTCATCTGAAAACACATTGAAATAAACAAATTATTTTTAAAAATTACTTTTGAATATAAGTGGCAATTTAGAAGAAAAATGGTGAAGGAAAGACCAGGGACTGTTCCATCTATGTAATACATAAGTAATTTAATTCTGAGTCCTATGTCCAAATAGGATTACATCCTAACCCATTTCTTAAAAGTAGCATTTAAGATTGAAATTAGTATAAAAAAATGTTAATAGTAGCTATTTCTGGTGGTAGAATTATTAATGGCATTTTCTTCTTTGTCCTTTCTGTACTTTGAACAAGACTGTGCTAATTTTGTAATTTAAAAAGTTATTAATCTCAGTACTAGGATATTTTATTTCATTTTATTTTTTTAATTTACATCCAAGTTAGTTAGCATATAGTGCAACAATGATTTCAGGAGTAGATTCCTCAATACCTCTTACCCATTGAGACCATCATCCCTCCCACAATCCCTCCAGTAACCCTGTTTGTTCTCCATATTTAAGAATCTCTTATGTTTTTGTCCCCTTCCCGGTTTTTATATTATTTTTGTTTCCCTTCTCTTATGTTCATCTGTTTTGCATCTTAAAGTCCTCATGTGAGTGAAGTCATATGATATTTTTCTTCCTCTGACTAATTTTGCTTAACATAATACCCTCTAGTTCCATCCATGTAGTTGCAAATGGCAAGATTTCATTCTTTTTGATTGCCGAGTAATACTCCATTGTATACATATACATACCACATTTTCTTTATCCATTCATCCGTCAATGGATACTTGAGCTCTTTCCATACTTTGGCTATTGTTGATAGTGCTGCTATAAACATTGAGGTGCATGTGTCCCTTCAAAACAGCATACCTGTATCCCTTAGGTAAATTCTGAGCAGTGCAGTTGCTGGGTCATAGGGTAGTTCTATTTTTAATTTTTTGAGGAGCCTCCATAGTGTTTTCCAGAGTGGCTGCACCACTTTGCATTCCCATCAGCAGTGCAAAAGAGATCCTCTTTCTCTACATTCTCATCAACATCTGTTGTTGACTGACTTGTTAATGTTAACCATTCTGACAGGTGTGAGGTGGTATCTCATTGTGGTTTTGCTTTGTATCTCCCTGATGATGAGTAACGTTGAGCATTTTTTCATGGTTGGTTGGCCACCTGGATGTCTTCTTTGGAGAAGTGTCTATTCATGTCGTTTGCCCATTTCTTCACTGGATTCTTTATTTTTTGGTGTTGAGTTTGATAAGTTCTTTATAGATTTTGGATACTAACCGTTTATCTAACCTTTATGTCGTTTGCAAATATCTCCTCCCATTCTGTCGGTTGCCTTTTAGTTTTGCTGATTGTTTCCTTCACTATGCAGAAGCTTTTTATTTTGATGAGATCCCAATAGTTCATTTTTGCTTTTGTTTCCCTTGCCTCTGGAGACATGTTAAGAAGTTGCTGCGGTCAAGATCAAAGAGGTTTTTGCCTGCTTTCTCCTCGAGGATTTTGATGGCTTACTGTCTTACATTTAGGTCTTTCATCCATTTTGAGTTTATTTTTGTGTATGGTTGTAAGAAAGTGGTCCACGTTCATTTTTCTGCATGTCGCTGTCCAGTTTCCCAGCACCACTGGCTGAAGAGACCGTCTTTATTCTATTGGATATTGTTTCCTGCTTTGTCACAGATTAGTTGACCATACGTTTGTGGGTCCATTTCTGGGTTCTCTACTCTGTTCCATTGATCTGAGTGTCTGTTCTTGTGCCAGTACCATACTGTCTTGATGACTACAGCTTTGTAATACAGCTTGAAGTCCAGGAGTGTGATGCCTCCAGCTCTGGTTTTCTTTTTCAAGATTTCTTTGGCTATTCGGGGTGTTTTCTGGTTCCATACAAATTTTAGGATTGTTTGTTCTAGCTCTGTGAAGAACGCCAGTGTTATTTTGATAAGTATTGCATTCAATATGTAGATTACTTTGGGTAGTACTGACATTTTAACAATATTTGTTCTTCCTATCTAGAAGTATAGAATATTTTTCCATTTTTTTGTGTGTCTTCTTCAATTTCTTTCATAAGCTTTCTATAGTTTTCAGTTTATAGATTTTTCACCTGTTTGGTTATTTTTATTCATAGGTATTTTTTGGTTTTTGGTGCAATTGTAAATGGGATCAATTCCTTGATTTCTCTTTTTGTTGCTTCATTGTTGATGTACAGGAATGCAACCGATTTCTGTGCATTGATTTTATATCTTGCCACTTTGCTGAATTCATGGATCAGTTCTGGCAGTTGTTTGGTGGAATCTTTTGGGTTTTCCATACGGAGTACCACGTCATCTGTGAAGAGTTAAAGTATGACCTCCTCCTGGCCGATTTGGATGCCTTTTATTTCTTTGTGTTGTCTAACTGCTGAAGCTAAGACTCCCAATACTATGTTGAATAACAGCAGTGAGAATGGACATTCCTCTCTTGTTCTTGACCTTAGGGGGAAAGCTCTGTTTTTCCCCATTGACGATGATATTAGCACTGGGTACTAGGATATTTTCTAAGTAAGCTAATGGCTACAATTTAGATTTACATGGACTAAATCTACTCAATCAGAATCACTGGAATGGTACCCAGAAATCTACATGTTTAACCAGCTTCCTAGGTGATTCTGCTGTTTGCTAACAATCAAAATCCTCTATTATCACTCCTTTTCTTCCAATTATATAATCCCAAGTTCTTTACTTGTAAATGTGTATTAGCCATATTAACCTAAATGTTCATTTTTTTTTTTTTTTGAGAGAGAGAGAGAACAAGCACAGCAGGGGAGGGGCAGACAGACAGACAGAATCCAAAGCAGGCTCCAGGCTCTGAGCTGTCAGCACAGAGCCTGATGTGGGGCTCAAATTCACGAGCCACAATATCATGACCTAAGCTGAAGTTGGACGCTTAACCTGAGTCACCCAGATGCCCCTGGCCATATTAACTTATACTTGGAAGAAATAACAGACTGCAATACAATACAACTTCCACCATATCTGAGACCTGTTAGCCACTAAAGAGTAATTTCTTACTTTTAACAGAAGGTTTCCCAATATAATTTTAAAAGAATTTATAACTGATGTGGTACCATTAATTCCTTTTGATGTATAAATCTGGACTTACACATACAACTTTTACAAAACTCTACCTTTTTTTTGTCTCCAAAGTTAGTACATATAAACAGCTAAATCAAGCTTACTTCACTTTCAAGTTTGCTAGAGTTTGAAGCTTTCTCCAGCAGCTCCTCTTGTATCAGCTGAAACTGACTAGTTCTGTGGGCCATGTTAACCTTCAAATCAGAATTCTCAGCTTCTATTTGCATCAACTTAGTACGTAGTTCTTCTATTCCAGAAGCAAGTCTTTGCCTTTCTCTTTCATATTGCTTGTTCACAGTATGTTGATTTTGGTCTTTTATTCTTTCTGCTGACAAACATAAAAGGAAAATTCCTCTGTATAAAACTTACAGAAAAAAACCCTATTTCAATGTTGAAAGATTTAATCATAAATAAAGTTTAATTTCTTATCTAAAGAATACTAAAGGGAACAGAGAATGAGATGTACTTTAAGGAAAAGGTAATGAAGGAACATGGCAAGTAACATACTTTCTATTATTAAGTACATAACAAAGTAGGAATAACTTCTGAGTCACTCACTTTTCCAGACTATTCCTTAATACTAAAAAGAGTCCTTCTCCACCTATAAAAATCCCTGTATTTCGGATAGAAAAAATTGCAAAAAAAAAAAAAAATAATTGTTTAAAAAAATCATTGTTAAAAAATCATTATTTCCTTAAACTGAAGTTAATCATAAAATTTCTCTAGAGCATATTTTTATTTATTGTATACAGATGCAAGTTCAAAAGCTGAAAACTGAGAATTCAGTGATGCTTTTTTAAAACTACTGAGGGTTATCAAAGGTAGTTGTTTGAATATATACTTTCTCCACTATAAATATATAAACCTATTCCCACCTAAAAGTAACTGAGCTTTCAGGAGTGCTTTAAAGAGGGATAATATATATGACTGCATGAGAACACACAGAGGTATGGAAGTAAGTGGAGATGCACTATGCCTTCTTCGAGGGCAGCACAAGTAGCCATTTCCTATCAATTCTCCATATCCCTAATATTTCACTTTCTAGGCTATCATTAGTTCTATACTCTTTGATGTAAGAGAACTTATGACATATTTATCAACATCTCTAATAATTAGCATTCACTCTGCTAATAATACCATCACTCTCTTCCCTATTCTCTCTAATCACTTTGATAGCTAATTCTCTCTGCTGTCATTCCTCCTGCCAGAAGCCAATCATATTTGAAGACAGACAATGATAAATTAAAGATACATATATTAACCAGTAAGGCAACCACTAAGAAAGTAAAGAAGTATAGTTAACTAATCAATAGTGAAGATTTAAAAAAAATAGAATACTAAAATATAATTGATCTAAAAGAAGGCAGGAAAGATGAATAAAGGCCATTAGCATAAATAATAAACAAATACCAAGATGATACACTTAAACCCAAAAAAGACCAATAGTTGCATTAAATGTGTCTAAACATTCCACTGAATGAGCAAAAAATGTTAGAATATAAAAGCAAGAACCAATTATATGCTCTCTATCAGAAACTCACTTTATCTATAAAAAATACAGACTAAAAGGATGAAAAAAGTCATACCAGGAAAACTCTAATCAAACACAGCTGGAGTGATGATCAGAGAGAAAATTAAGAAAACAATCCCATTTATAATTGACCCAAAAAGAATAAAATATCTAAGAATAAATTTGAGGAGGGGAAAAATTTGTACACTAAACACTATAAGACACTGATGAAAGAAACTGAAGACACAAATTAATAGATAGTTCATGTTCATGGACTGGAAAAATTAATACTGTGAAAATCTCCGTACTACCTAAATCTAAAGATTTAATTCAACCCCTATCAAAATCCCAATGGCATTTTTTTTATAGAACAAAAGGCCAATCCTAAAATTTGTATGGAACCACAAAAGACCCCAAATAGCTAAAGTAATCTTGAGAAAGTAAAACAAAGCTGAAGGCGTCACACTTCCTAATTTCAAACTGTATTATAAAACCATAGTAATCAAAACTGTATGGTACTGGCATTAAAAACAGACATATGGTGTGCTTGGGTAGTTCAGTCAGTTGTCCAACTCTTTTTTTTTTTTTTTTTTTTTTTTTTTTAAATTTATTTATTTTTGGGACAGAGAGAGACAGAGCATGAACGGGGGAGGGTCAGAGAGAGGGAGACACAGAATCGGAAACAGGCTCCAGGCTCCGAGCCATCAGCCCAGAGCCTGACGCGGGGCTCGAACTCACGGACCGCCTCACAGACCGCGAGATCGTGACCTGGCTGAAGTCGGACGCTTAACCGACTGCGCCACCCAGGCGCCCCTATCCAACTCTTGATTTCAGCTCAGGTCATGACCTCATGGTTCGTGGGATCAAGCCCTGAGTTGGGCTCTGCACTGACAGCATGCAGCCTGCTTGGGATTCTCTCTCTTTCCCTCTTTCTCTGCCCTTCCCCTCCTCATTCTCTCCCTGCCTCCCTCCCTCCCTCTCTCTCAAAATAAAGGTAAATTTACAACAAAGGAGTCAAGAACATACAATAGGGAAAGGACAGTCTTTTTAATAAACAGTGTTGGGTTAACTGAACAGCCATATGCAAAAGAATGAAAATAGACCACTATCTTAAGTAGACAAAAATCAACTTAAAATGGTTTAAAGACTTGAATATTAAACCTAAAACATAAAACTTCTGGAAGAAAACATAAGTAAAAAGCTCTTAGATCTATCAGTCCTGGTGATGGTAATTTTTGGATTCAACACCAAAAGCAAAAGCAAAAAAGTAAAAATAAACAAGTGGGACTATATCAAAGTAAAAAGCTTCTGTACTGCAAAAGAAACCATCAACAAAATGAAAAGACAACCTACAGAATGGGAGAAAATATTTGTAAATCTATATCTGATAAGGGATTAATATCCAAAATACATAAAAACTCATATAACTCAATAGCAAAAAAAAAAAAAAAAAAA